GGAGCTGGGAAGAAATGAAACCTGTCACAAATAATTCTCTACAATACAGCCTACTGTGTCTCTCAAACATGTCTGTCTTATGATGTTTGTTAACTGGACCTAAATTAGTTCTTACTTGGGGAAATGTTCTTTCACAGAAACAGTGTCAGGGACTGTCAAAAAGAAAGAAAGAACGCCAATTAGGACAATTTCTTTTCCTGTCGTGGTAGCTTAAAATAATTGTCTCAGCAAATTTAAGGATAAGTTAATTTTTTAAACATTTTAACATTTTTATGCAAAGCAACAAATACACTTGGGCACTGGGATATCTCTTTTGCATCATGAATTATTATTATATATATGAATAAACTGATTTTAGGGTTTAATGTGGAGATATATTAACTATCCTAACACTGGAAAGGCTATGCCTACCTAAGTAATCCCAATATTAATTAGACAATGAAAAACAAGAAAATTCATAGAGCTTGCCTAGAGGATTCTTAATAAACCTGGGCCAAAGCATACAATGTGAAAAACTTTTAGAAACTATCAGGATCTTGTCAAATATTTGAGAGAGAGAAAGAGAATTAAAAATCATTTTCATTTGCCCTTTAAGATAATGCCATCTGGTCCCACGAGTCCCAGGAATATCTCCACGGCCTTTTGGCTGAAAAGTGGCTTATGTGAAAGAGGTTAAATTCCTGGGACAGCTCTTTGCCCTTACCAGTATAATGAATATCTGACTCACTTAAGCAAAAATGCCAGCAAAACTCAATTCTTTATATTGCCATTAAGGAATGCCTATGTGCTTTCTTCACATAGGCATTCCTTAATAGACCTAGCAGTGTACACACCACCCCAGTAGATTCAGGGGTACATGGTGTTGGGCATTCTTCTGCAAAACAGGGATAAGGCAGAATTATGTGGGAAACCTTTAGTAAATAAAAGCTCCTATTATTACAGTGTTTACGTAAATTATAAGTCATGATTTCACTATGTGAATAGAACTATTAAAATTAGAAAACATAAGTGGAGCTACATGCTTAGAATTATGTCTACTTTTTTTTTTTTAATTATTGCTAGTGCCCTAGACTTTAACCAAAACACATGTGCCAGCACTCTGCATTGAATAGTTGCCTATTTCCAGTCTCACTGAGTAGTACCTAAGTGCCTGCCCAGCATCAGTACTACTGAAGTTTTCCGTGGACCTGGGCTGCTTTTGCCTCTGGGCCTGATATAATGAATTGGCTACATTAGCTTAGTGTTACTTACAAATCAGTCCCACTTTTGACCACTCGAGACTTATTACTATGTTGCATGTATGCCATTTTTTTAGCTTCCCTCCTTTATCTTTTACATGTTTTGAAAATGTTCTCATCACATGTTGGAACAAAGAAAAGGTGACGGAGTAAAATAAATTGTAGTTCCTTGATTTTTTTTAACACTACTAGGAAAAAAGATGTAGATTGCTTTAATTATCTAAAATACATTGATTTAGCCGAAACCGGTTTGGCTCAGTGGATAGAGCGTTGGTTTGCAGACTGAAGGGTCCCGAGTTCGATTCTGGTCAAGGGCATGTACATTGGTTGCAGGCACATCCCCAGTAGGGGGTGTGCAAGAGGCAGCTGGTAGATGTTTCTCTCTCATCAACATTTCTGGCTCTCTATCCCTCTCCCTTCCTCTCTGTAGAAATCAATAAAATATATTAAAAAAAAATAAAATAAAATGGCTCTGCAAAATGCACAAATAAAACATGCATAAAAATAAAATAAAAAATACATTGATTTAGTTTATTATGGAGTTTAAAGGAAATGCAAAATTCACAACTGCGTGAAATGTAAGAGTTGATTATGGATTTCTCTGGTTAAATTCTTTTTCACATTGTCATAAATGGTTAAAAGATGTCTTTTTTATGTAAAATTTTAAGCAAATTATATAAGAAGGCATTTAGCTTTTTGAGCCATTTATACTATTCTCTACATTTAAATGAAATTTCCTCATGTACTTTTCAGTGATCATCAAAATAAACCAATTATGATGATCAATACATGAAGCCACTTTTATAATTCATAAATATATGTGAATTTCTATAGCCTTTTCTTGCACATCTAGGAGAGATATCGCACTAACAATTTATTGGGCAGGCTGGGCCTTTATTTATTATTATTAATAATTCTAAACTTAGCATAAAAGTCAAGAAAATATCACTTATCCTTCAGATTTGAAATAGAAAAAAACATTATTGAATAATCAATTAGATAAAAAGCAACTGCATATTCCAAGTAGTCCTATAAAAATACCTGTGGTAAGTATTAATTTTTTAGCTCTAATCAGGAGAAAAGGGATAAAATTCCTTCATTGGGTTTGAGGTTTTGTTTTTTTTAATAAAAATAGTGTTTTTTAAATAATCTATGTATACATGAATTACAGAGCTATTTTTAGGCCTACCTGTGACTTAAATCATTTTGTCTGCAATTGCCAAAAATACAAGTATTTCCCTTAAATATGAGGTCCTTATCAAATGGCTCTATGGCAAAATTGAAGCATTTGAGGCTTTTCTTAGGTCTTTGCAATCATATTCTAGTTTTAACATCAAATGGATGGTATGCTGCTTATGCTGTCATTGTAAAAATATATTAAAAACATTTAAACAGATAAATTAAGAATAAAATTCTTGGATAAGACAGTTCACCAAATTCCTAAACTGGGGAAAACATCTCTCTCTCTCTCTCTCTCTCTCTCTCTCATATATATATATATATATATATATATATATATATATATATATATGATTTTATCTCAACATTCCCCTTCCCTTTCTGACAAATAGAATGAGATAATTATGAAAATGTGTTGAAAATGAAAGCATCCCACCTGGTGGGGAGAAAAAACTTAGGTAACATTTCAGTAAAGATCCAGCTCTTGTGACATTCTGTCAAAAGAATACTCCTCCTATTGAGCAGGTAGAAAGTTGTCATTTAGTGAACATTAGTAGCTGAGCTAATTGGCAGAGTTTGGCCAAGATAACTGTATTTGAAAGAGAAAGTGTGGCCTTTGGATTGTCAGGTGGTGACAGAGCTTCTTCAGTAGGTTCTGTTCTTCTGGGGAGGAAATTAATTTCCTGTAATCAAATGCTGTGGATTACAGTCTTTGTCTCCTCCGCCTTGACCACAGAGGCAAAGCCAACTCTTATTCAGCAACATTACCTGGTGTTTTGTAAAGCAAGCAATGGCTTACTCAACAAAGAAGTGTTTTACGTGCTGCATTTTGTCGTTCAGAATACAGCCTATTGCTGCTTTGAGATTGAAAGCTATGACTTTGTAAGTGATTATGTTTGCAAGGCTTTGTTTGGAGAAGGAAAGGAAAATGACAGCAAAACAGAAGAAATCTTGGTGACGTCTAAAAATGAAATTATAAAGCAGTCCAGGGTTTCAATTGGTAAAGCAATCCCAGGAATAGGAACTTATGTAGAAATATTTTTTAAAAATAATTATTACATAATGTTGAATAGTAGTGATATAAAAGTACAATCCTAGTCTTCTTGAATTAGTCCATTTCTGGAGTGTGTATACATTCACATGCATAAATATTTGATATATATGCAGTCTGGTCATGATTTAAATTCATTCTGCATAACTTACAAAGTTTTGAAAAATTAACCCACTACATCTGTAGAGTAATGACCTTTTAAGAAGATTCAGAAAAAGAAAACAATTTCATATAGAAAAATGACCTAAGGCAGTAGTCGGCAAACTCATTAGACAAGAGCCAAACATTAATAGTACAACGATTGAAATTTCTTTTGAGAGCCAGAAACCAAGTTCCGCACCACAAAGTTCCTATCACACTGTATGTGCGTGTCTGCACGTGCTATGTTGTGGAAGAGTCACACTCAAGTGGCCAAAGAGTCGCTCGCATGTGGCTCACAAGCTGCAGTTTGCTGACCACGGACCTAGGGTCAGAGAGAAGTGGGATGGAATCGTCTCTCTCTATAGTTCCTAGGCTTTTAAATTCTTGCAACAAATTTTTAAGTGTATTATGTAAAAGAGTCACCTTCGCCTCTCCTGATCTGTAAGCCAAATCACAGGATGTCTTCTCCCCATCCATAGTCAATGTCAGTGCCTGATGAGGCCTTGGGAAGACAGGGTGCCACCCATAAACCCATTTCCTGACCAAAAAAAGCTTCGTTACTCTTTATCCTTTGGAAAGATTAAAGAGGGCTTTACAAGTTGAATAAAACAGAGCTAGCCAGTCCTTTACTTATTGCTATCTACTAGGCACCAAGTTTTGACTCAATATGGATGGTCTATAAAACTGAGGGAGGGGGGAATCATTTATTTTAACCTCCCAAATTTGGTTTTGGTGATCACTCAACTGCGACCAATCAACGAATTCCCATCCATACATACAAATAAACCTCCAACAGAAAAAGGAATTGATTTTGTTTTAGTTTGTAAAGTTGTGACTAAAATCATACTTTTACAAAGCAGGTATTTAGATTATTCAAATGTCCGAGTTATTTTATTGTTCAATACTTTATGCAATCATATTGCCTCCTATAGTTTTAAATAAATAGTCCTAAAGTTATCTACCCAGAGTCTGGAGTTGGCTCTAAGGATTCTATGTTAACATCAATTTGATTCTGAAACTGATACCCTCTAATATTTTACAAGACAGGGTCTTTATGATTTCATTTTCCATTGTTGGGTTTATGGTATTTCACCGAACACATCCACATGGCCCTTCAGAGGTCCATGGAGCTTATTTGGGGCTGCACTTCCAAGACCTTGTTAACAAAATTGACCTGTGAGAAAGAAAAGATGGCAACAAATCTCTCAGCCAGTGCTTTGATTCATTGTCCCCAGTTTTTTGGGACCCTGAAGCATGGGGTTTCCACACTTCACAGCAGTCTACATTTCCTGGTGCCATCCCATTAGTCATGAAAATAGAAGGTAACTGTTAGCGTTCAAGGAACTCCATAATCACTCTGTGTGTGTTTTTTTCTTCCCCCTTTCCTATAGCCAACCCAACCCGGGCAGGCGGCAGAGAGCCATACCCAGGCTCCGCAGAAGTGATCCGGGAGTCCAGCAGCACCACTGGCATGGTGGTGGGCATAGTGGCCGCTGCCGCCCTGTGCATCCTCATCCTCCTCTATGCCATGTACAAGTACAGAAACCGGGATGAAGGCTCATACCACGTGGACGAGAGCCGAAACTACATTAGTAACTCAGCGCAGTCCAATGGGGCTGTCGTAAAGGAGAAACAACCCAGCAGTGCGAAAAGCGCCAACAAAAACAAGAAGAACAAGGACAAAGAGTATTACGTCTGATTCCAAGATCTTAAAAGGACCCTTGTATAGAAATAGTCTTCATTTTATCTGAGACATACTATAAACTTATTTACTTTCCTTTTTATGAAGCACATACAAAAAGAAGACAGGGAATGCAATCAGGAAGGAAAGACTGTTTTTAAAAAAAAATAATCAAAAAAATCAAGTATCTCATGCTCTTGTTTCTCCAAAAAAGAAAAATAAATAAAAAATTACAAAACAGGGGCCAATAAATTCCCTAACATCCACAGTGTTTTTCATTTACTCTTCCTGTCTTTATGTTGCTGGAACATTTCTAAAAAAGACAGTGATGACTGCACGCATTCATAAAGCAAAGGAGTATTACAACATCAAGGCACAACACAAAACACAACACACACAAAAGAAGCTACCTATGATTCTGGATTTAGCCAAAGTGCTAGCGCTTGCCCGAGAAGTCAGATAGTCCTGTTGCCAGAGAAGACTGTGGCATCTTGAGTGACTCGACCTGCAAATCCTTAAGAATTTGCTGCCTGGCGCAAACGGAGCCGTGGTTGGAATTTACATTTGAAACAAAAGTGCTGGCTTTTTTGAAGACTTGTGTAGGAACACATTCAAAAAGCCCCTTTATGATTGTGAGGGGGGAAAAATGTATGGAGGCCTTATTTTCAACATTGTGAAATATAAGGCACATCTTCACACTAAAATTTCAGAACAAAAACAAGAGGGCATAGATGCAATCATTGGGAAATTTTCATGCACGCTTAATATGTTACTACATATGTTTATATAAAATCCATCTCTGTGTGCTTTCTGGACTGTGGTTAAGTGACGTTTTATAGCCTGTTGTATAGAAAATGCAAAATATATCTCTGCTCTTCAGCCATTTTTGGTAAATTAAATGTTATAAGTGTTGCTAATTATAGGGAGTTTTATGACATTGGAGCAACAATTATTTCAGGGTTGTTTTTGTTTTTTGTTTTTTGTTTTTTTGTTTTTTGGCCATCATTAGAAATTGCCACAATTACTTACTTTTTAAAATAAAGTTACAATGTAGTGTTTATTCTAAGAAAGATATGTATGAATGTATATAAAAAGACTCAGCTACATTTTTTCTTACATGTACAGCCTTCATTCTGTTGCAATTAAGTTCTAGTATTTGTATGAAAGGTGTGAATTAGAAGGTAAAAAACTATACATATGTATCTTATAATCTTTTTTTCTTCCCCTAATACATTTCCACATACATTCACTATTCACAATCAAAGATGTACACACACATACACACATATGAATTCAGAGTAATCCATCAGATATAATGAAAGACCCAAACATATATATACTAACAAATATTTACTGACAAAATGTAAAGCAGGAAGGAAGATAATTGTGCCAAGGTATTGATGACAAATGGGGTGATTTGCTTCATTGAGACCATGTTCCCAAGAAACCCCAAGAAGACATTTCCCCAATGAAATGGAACCTTTTCTTACCGAATAGAATACCAATGTTATCTTGATGTATGGGCATGAACCATTAGGTGAGGAAGTTATGGAAGCAAAATTGGTTGATATACACCTTAATCTGATTGCTGCAATTGGAAACTTTTTTCCCAATGAAATTATTATTTTTTTCTCTGAACCTAATGCGCATGATAAAGATTTTGGAAAGTAAACACTTTCTCAACTAAAAGTATTTTCAGGAATTTTTGATTCCCTATTTGTTAATTATTGACCATATTTTAACTTTTGTGGATATATATATCAAATCAGTTTTATGATATATATATCACTAAATGATATATATATATATCATTAAATCAGTTTTAATTTAACACATTAAATGGTAGGAAAGTATAGATTATACACTTGTTTTTGCATATAGTTTCAATGATGTTCACAGCAATAAATTGGCAGTGTGAGAAGGTATTGCAAAAGAAGTGCATTATTAGATTGGAAGGTGATGCCTCAGTATACATTGATTGCATTACTTTAACATCTCCAAAAAACACTAATAGATTTCAAGGAAGAGAAGAAAACACTTACAATTAGCTTTAATCAGCAAAGGCAAAAAATGCAAAACATCTTTTATAATACTTTAGTTGATGAAAATAAAAAGCCAAGAAGTGGCCTGGATTTCAGACATACAGCACCTTAGAAACATAGCAAATCACCAGTACCTACGGTTGCCAAGAAATTGTTGTAAATGAAAAGTTATCAAGGCTTTTCGTGACCCAGAAAGTAGAGGAATAAAACTAAAATTTAATATCCATTGCTTATGTTTCAGACATTTCTTTTTTTTCACTTGCTAGGTTAAAAATATTCATGTATTGTGTTTTTCCCCCCTCTCATTCAGTCTTACTCAGGGAAAGCCAGTGAAATAAGAAGGTAAATATAAAACCACTAATTTACATTTGAGGTTATAAAAAGAAATGGTTGCTTTTTCATTTGATCTACGGGACTTGACCTAGTTTCCACCTGGAAAGATTCTAAACTATGATAGAAAAATCAATAATGGTGTTTTTAAGCAGTATATCTATGAAGTAGTGCTGTTGGGGAATGATTTCAATGTTTCTTTGCCACATAAATTTTAAGATGTCATGCAATGATGTAATCTTATAGTGTCAGTAAAAATATTACTAATGTTATTGGCCTATACAAAATCTAGCATTTTTTTTTCTTTATTTTAAAGTGGAGAAAGAGAGGAACATGAGCTAGGGAGAGTAAAAGACACGAGTAAAATCTTCACACAAAAGTATCAGGGTTCCATACACAGTTTGCAATCAATAGAGGATTTCACACTACCTGGCATACATTTGATTACATCTCTAGACTAACTTTTCTGATTGAATCTGCTTCTTTTTTATCCATGTAATGTGTTGCCTTTTAAAAAACAACAACAACAACAACAAATACTACAATAATGTGTGGTGTGGTCAAAGGCCACATGACCCTCCCCTTCTAGTGCTCTGTGTGACTGGGTACCTAAGGGTTTTGTTTGTTTCGTTTTTTTGTTGCAAGGCCAATTTATCCATTATTGGAAATGCTAAGCAAGTGGAATTTACTGTTTTGTTAATAAAATATTTCTTAATACAACTGTGGATTTATTGACTTTTTAAAAAATGTATACGTGGCATCATGTGTGTCATCATCAAATGACACAGAAAACTGCATTTAAAGGAAAACATATCCTGAGAGAAGGAGGGGAAGGTTATTGACCTGCTTTTCCTAGATTTTAATGTTCATCAAGCGCCTCTACAATCATACATTTAGAGATACAGCCACGGAAAATGCACCATAGTGTACATATGTTAACCATGCTATATGTGAAACCACAAACGCCTAAAACTAGTTGGAAACAATATAAAGGTGCTGATTTCATGAATATGGTTCTCTCTATAAAGAGCAATGTAATTCAAGTTAAGTAAATTTATAATTAGATTCCAACACACACACTTACTAGCTACAACTTATTCGATTTCTCTGTCTCCCTTTTCTCCTTAGTAAAGTAAATAAGGGCAATAACACCAACTTCTTAGGGTAGTAAGGATAAAAATATTTAATGTGTCTAGCACAACTAACTGCAAAGACAAGGTGGTAACTTGCATCATGTTATTTTTCATAATAATTTGGGAAAGCAAGTCAAAAATGAAAAAATACAAAAGGCAAGTGTGTAAAGAAATATACTTGTTAATATATATCTATAATAATAAATGCATAATATGCTAATTAGATTGGATATCCTTCCAGACGACCTTCTAGACGAAGCTGGGGCTGCGAGGGAAGCTTGGGTCCTGGGTGCTAGAGGGAAGCTTGGTGCCAGCAGCCGGGGGAAGGAAAGCCTACTCTTGCTTGAATTTCATGCATTGGGCCTCTAGTCCTATTAATAAAGAACTAATATGCTAACTAGACTGGATGGGTAGAACCACCTTCCAGAATGAGCAGGGTCAGGGGCAGTGGGGGTCATGAGGCCGTGAGGCAGCTGGGGTTATGAGGGCTGAACCCCTAGCATGAATTTTGTGCATCGGGCCTCCAGTGTATATGTAGGCCTTCCTTCCTCCAGCTGCCAGCACCAGCTTCGCTCTGGTACCTGGGACCTGGGCTTCCCTCAAATCCCGGGCTTTGTCTGGAAGGTCAGCCGGAAGGACGTCCAGCCTAATTAGTGTATTATGTTTTTATTATTACAGATATCCCACATTAAAAATATACATAAATATTTTAGTATGTCTTAGTCCATTAGTTGGCAAATGTTTTAAAATGCTGGCCTTTGAAAATTATCCTCTGACAGAAAAGCGTGAGTGGTCTTTCTCTTCTCCCATAGTAAAATATTTGAACATGAGTGCTTAATCCATTTTTTACCATTTTATTTTAGACACATTATTTAGGTCTTAATATTAACCCATGACTTTTACATGTAATGGGGTAACAATCCGCACCATCTTAATGTCTAAATAAAAGGCTATATAATTCATCTTACCTTTAAAATGTACAAAATTTCAAAGATGATGACTTTATATACGTTAGTAAACAGATGAAGGATTCTTAAACTGTGGAGCGTACACCCCTGGTGTCCAGTGATTAAGCATCAGGGGTTACTAACCTCTAACAATAGTTATAAAATTTGACAGATGTATGTGGAGGAGTATTTCCTTGGAAAGAGTGAACCTTTTTGCTTCTGTAAATTATTCAAGCCTATAATAATCTGTACAGAAATCAAGCAAAAAATAACTGACTCAAAGTTTTCAGTGTTTTTTTTTTTGTTTTTTTTGTTTTTTTTTTGTTTTGTTTTTTTTGTTTTTTTTTGTGGCTAGGTCACCTAAATTGTGTAAAAGTAAATAGTGTTGTATGTAATACTTCCATTTCAGAAAACAGCACTTGTGTTTCCTGAACATTTCTTTTTTTTGTTTTAATTGCGTGGATGGGCATAAATCCTCACTTTGCATTCAGATAGATTCCATTTCTTTTTTCATGTGAGACATATCAGGCATATTAGGACGTATCTAGTCTACCAAATACATTATT